GAGATAGGCACGAGCCCTAACATTCGCAAACTAGACGTGGAATTCATCGTGGTAAGACTCAATTGTGTGCACAACATCATTTTGGGGAGACCGGCACTGGAGGACCTCAAGGCCATAGTGTCGGTGGAACACTTGTGTATGAAGTTCCCTACTCCGAGTGGGATAGGAGTCGTCAGAGGAGACCAGCGAGCAGCACGCAGTTGTTACGTAAAAGCATGCAAAAAGATTGGCGGAAAGGACCTTCAAGTCCACACCATCTGATAGGATGATCGATCGGGTATGGAACTCAGAACATTTAATTAGATATTATAAGTAATATTTTGTAGTAGTGGTCCGCACAGATCTGTAAACAATATTTTGTAATAATGGTCTGCCCAGGTTACTTTGCTCAAATAAAAGGTTCTCAGCACCACCTTCGATCAACCAAAAGCCGGCCGACGCCACATTGTAAAAAAAATAAAAATAAAAAAATAAAAAATAAAAAATAAAAAAACAAAGGTCGAGGCGCACACCTCGGCCCAAGGCACGACTGAGGCGGTGCCTCAAGCCGAGCCGCAAAAAGGCCTGAGGCGCGCGCCTCGGTCACTGGCCGAGGCACGCGTCTCGGCCAGCGCCCACGGCTGAGGCGACGCCTCGGCCAAACACAGCTAAGGCGACGCATCAGCCGAAAAAAAAAAAAAAAAAAAAAAAAAAAAAAAAAAAAACCGCCAGGCGCACGCCTCGGCCAGGCCGAGGCGCAGCACCTCGGCCTAGAGCCTAAGGCGCATGCCTCGGCCAGGCCGAGGCGCAGCACGTCGGCCTAGGGCCTGAGGCGCATGCCTCGGCCGAGGCCCGCATCTCGGCCACTGGCCGAGGCGGTGTCTCAGCCTGTCCGTAAAAAAAAAAAAAGAAAGAAAGAAAAAAAAAAAGAGGGCCCGGAGCTCGCCTCGGCCACAATCGGTCGAGGCGACGCCTCGACCACGATCGGCCAAGGCGCACGCCTCGGCCACAGTTGGTCGAGGCGACGCCTCAACCATGATCGGCCAAGGCGATGCCTCGGCCACGATCGACCGAGGCGCACGCCTCGGCCACGAGCGGTCGAGGCGACGCCTCGACCACGAACGATCGGCCGGGGTGCACGACTCGGCCACGATCGATCGAGGCGACGCCTCGACCGTGATCGGCCGGAGGCACGCACCTCGGCCAGCCTAAGCCGCAGCCCGTCTCGGCCAGCGAAAAAAAAAAAATGCCGCCAGGCGCACGCCTCGGCCAGGCCGAGGTGCAGCACCTCGGCCTAAGGCCTGAGGCACGCGTCTTGACCATTGGCCGAGGCGCAGCACCTCGGCCTAAAGCCTGAGGCGCACGCCTCGGCCGGGCCGAGGCACACGTCTCGGCCTAGGGCCTGAGGCGCATGCCTCTGCCGGGGGCCTGCACGCCTCGGCCAGGCCGAGGCGCAGTACCTCGGCCTAGGGCCTGAGGCGCACGCCTCGGCCAAGCCGAGGGCCGCGTCTCGGCCACTGGCCGAGGCAGCGTCTCAGCCTGTCCGTAAAAAAAAAAAAAAAAAAAAAAAAAAAAAAAAAAAAAAAAAAAAAAAAAAAAAAAAAACAAAGAATGAAAGAAAGAAAAAAAAAAAAAAAAAAAAAGGGGCCGGAGCTCGCCTCGGCCACGGTTGGTCGAGGCAACGCCTCAACCATGATCGGCCAAGGCAACGCCTCGGCCACGATCGACCGAGGCGCACGCCTCGGCCAGCTTAAAAAAAAAAATTCATGTGTGATTTGGAAAATAAAATCACATACTCGGGATCAACCGGGATTCTGCACGATATCAAGCAAATTCAGTCTTACTCCCTAGTCAACTTCAACACATCGGTAGACTCGGGAGTAGGGGGGACTGATGACAGGATAATGGTGCTGGCACCCGACCCGGATCATAAGCAGCATCTGACCCGACACCACATGGAATGGTGCTGGGGCACCCGACCCGGATCATAAGCAGCATCTGATCCGACACCACATGGAAACCCAACGGGCAGAATTCCAACGGCTGTCACCTTTACTGCCATTGAAGCCACCATTGATGTCACCATTGATGAGAGAGAATTAAAGGTTTAGCTCCCCATTTATGCTTCATGTTGTTACCGTTAGCAGCTTTTGTATAAGTAGGGACTCCCCTCAGCTTGGAGGGGGACGTTCAATACTCTGGACAAAGACACTGTATTTTCTATACTGAGACAAAAGGCAATACAACTATTGTTACTTTCTTATTCGTTATTCATATAATATTATGCAGTAACATATTTACCGTCATATATATATATATATATATATATATATATATATATATATATATATATATTACATAATGTATAATAATTGATAATATTTTTCAGAATTATGGAAATAAAATTGTCCAGGTTGTTGCTTATAAAATTAAGAAATGTGTCCTACAATTGTGGACTGGAGTAGGTCAAGGTCAACCACCAGACTACCAATACTCAACCTATCAATGATTGAGAATTAAAACTATATTGTTGATGTAGTAAATACGCTATGTTATACGATAAGGTCCTACGATTGCACTATGTGAGCTCAGGAATAAGTGATAGCGGGTCGGAAGCTCCCGAGTTAGTATAGGTCAGGTTAAGTGAAAATCTAGAAGTCTTATCCACCCCCTCCCCCTCCCCCCCCCCCCCCCCCCAAAAAAAAAAGAGCATTAAATGTGTTATTTATAGGAGTTAGAAGGGAGCACATTTTGTGATCTCGACATGCTTGCCACTTGTTTTGCATGCATTCGGTGGGATCAGAGCCGTGTAGATTGGTCCACGTGTCATAATATACCCGACAAGTCTAAAATGATGTGGTCAGTCATAGTGTCGTTTCATGACTCATGTTTCCTGATACGAGGGGCTATTTGCTCAGGCTACCGCACTAATTAAGGCCATAGGTCGGAACCGATAAATTATTCGGAAATAAAGGATAGGAAGAAGAAACTCAAGGAATTACGGAGCTCGCGACATGTTACGCTACAGCTCACATAATTACTCGCGGATCCGTCCCTCGGGTTAAATTGAGCCGAGTCACTAAATAGGGTTTGCTCAAGTTGAGAATCACTCCTTAAGTCCGAAGGAGTACATTTCAAGCAGGTATATAGCTATACACCTAGAGTATATTTCCTATCATGAGTTGCACAAGCAAATATTTCATCTTTCTCATAGATGAATTTAGTACAATGTGAATCGGATACTAAGTGAGTGGGGTACAAGCTAATATGGCTGTCCAAATATTACAAATTATGGGTTATTTATGCATAAGCTAATAGCAAATATTATTGTTAAAGAACCATGTGAATCTTTCAAGTTTCAATATAATAATGGCCAATAATTAATCTAAGCATCTTCTTGGTACAATAATGCCTAATTCTAACAATGATTCAATTGGACTATGTCTTCAAGTGGAACTCAGGTTAATCTCTCCCAACCAACTAACGTTTCTTGGGTGACTTCATCTGTCAAGTCAACCTTATTTAGGTCGAGTCCAATCACTTTATGAAACCAACTGTCATAAAAATATTACTCCGAATATGGTTATATTAATTATATGAAATCAAATTTTGTATTTATTAACTATAGTAATTAAAGTATCAAGTGGCTTGTAGTCCGTAAGTACCCGGTTGCTACCCTAAGTGAGAGGTGATAGGTTTAAACTTCACTTGAGGTAAGTAGTGTGTATATAGGGTATCCTGTATCCCTTCCTTATAATTAAAAAATATATATAATAATTAAAGTGATTAATTTAAATATGAATTAATCAAATAATAAATTAAACACTTGGATGCCGACGCTACACCAACTTCCTTATGCCTAACCGCTGGCGGGTACTCCAGTCTTGTCAAAATAAAAGATAAGTTTATTCATTTATTTTTGAATATAGTAACTAATGTACGTAACAAATGGATAATCATGTGAGACAAGACCGTGGTCCTTTGTCTAGGTGTTTTCTTGTACCACTACTACTTCCTCACTATATTTTTATACATTATAATATGCATTCTTTACACATGATTTCTTTAATTTTATATATTTTTTAAGTATTATCATTCACCTATGTAATAGCCCACTAATAAAAATATACAGATATATATATATATATATATATATATATATATATATATATATATATATTCTCGACCGCTCCCGACAGTTGTAATACTTTTTCCCAATCTTGTTTATATGAGTGAATAACACGTGAAACATCTTTTCAACCATTCAATCAAATTGAGCTTAGCACATAGCATAATCAACCTAATTCTAGTGACTTTCTATGTACTAAGGGTATATCTCTAAAACATTACTTGTATACATAATAAGAATATATAGAACTAATGCGCACATCATGTAACGTGTTATTATCAGATAATAAACATTATCATTCATAAATCACACATGAGATATAAAAGGCATGCATTAGGAAGATCTTGTGTGACAAATTTGATCGAAAAGATATTGACAATAATCGAACTTGTTATGAGACTCATCCATTATTAGCCACACGTCAAGGATTTGATCATTAGCTTTGGGGTTCTCAGCAAGTCTTAAATCTCCATGTCAGTTGTCCCACTAATAGAGATGCTTACAATTCAGCAAGGGATTAGTCATTGTGTTCGACCGTAGAAATCCGAAATTACACCAAAAATAAAATAATAATAATAAAATCAAACTCGTTACATTCTGGTATAAGAATTATTCTCCATTCGATCACTTTATTTTCAAGGCAAAAATCACATTCACTTCGTGCAAGCTGGTGGCATGAGGGCATATCATAATTTTAGCGGATAACTAACTTTGCAGAATTGCAGTGTCTAAGGAGTGGCCATAAGCAACGTCGTACAACGTTGTACAAAATCAATGTGGTCTACTTGTCTGCAATTTATTATGACATTATACAAAGCTGTAGAGCTGCAACTTGATCCCATTAAAGCACTATAGATTTAGTATTAAGTATCGCAACCAAACACGGGTAAAATTGTTACAACTAATTTTGGTTCATCTTATCATGGCAGTTAATAGTTTCGTTTTAAATTTTGTCAGGATATCGAAATTAAGACAAAATCGAACAATGTTATGCTGTATCTACATGATAGTGTGAAGCCTTACAATCAAAGCTGAGTTAGCTTGTTTATGGTAGATAAATAACACAAATATGATACAAACATTTCCCATTCAATTCATCCTTCAAGAAATGTCTTCTCGAATGCTTGCTAGGAAAGATCTTAGCTCTCTTGCTTTCTTGAGATGGTCAGGGGAGAACATTTCATTGTCTGAATCACTCATCAACTCAATTACATCAACGGGGGGGCGTTGAAAATCATCGATTTGAAGCTCTGAGCTTCCTCCAGCATGGCGGGGAGGAGGGCTCGAGAGATCAATTACTTCAGTTTCGGGTTCTGCATTCTTGCTGAGTAGACAAGCATGGCGTGGAGGTGGAGGTGGAGGACTCGAGAGATCAGTCACTTCGGGTGATCCATGGAAGACGGTTGCATTTTCTTGGTCGATTTCCAGCAGCATTGCTTGCAGCTTCAGCTCGATTTCACTCGAGGGTGGCCTGTTGTCCACTCTTATCCGTCTTGATTTTGGTTTTTTCTTCCTTTGAGCTCTTCTTTCCTGAAACTCGATAATCTTTTCGGGACAAGCACTGAAACGACAGACAAAACGAATACGAAGTCAATGTAAAAAACATTCCATTCTGCACATATATTACTGCTATACCTCTGTACAAGATCTGCTGGAACTATGGAGGTCTCGAGTCCATCAACTCCATCCCAAGAAACTTCAAAGCAGTCTCTTCCCTGAACTTTTCTTTCCTTGATAATGCTAGAGACCGGGCACTTAATTGGCATCTGTACGTGGAAACAAAACCAGTTCATATCGGGAACCACCTTAAAATCTATCCAAAACATAACTAAAAGTCTAAAACTTCATGTATCAGATTGTCTGAAAACAAAACATTATATGCAAAACGTGAAGACTATTATTAAGGTGATACCTCGTTCAAGGAAACCTGGAGTCCTGCTTTTGTTGAAGTAGATCGCAGATTAGAAAATCGTCGTAATTCTCGTTCAGCAATCTTAGGAAGGATGTACTCATCTGAGCCATAAAAGAACAACCATTACTTTTGAAGTTTTGAATCTTATGTTCCTCGCTCTATCGATTAAAGCAATGCCAATATCTCCATTCCAAAATAGATTCCATTATAAAACAAACCTTACCTGTTTTCTCAAAAGGCCAATTAAAATATTTCCCACATATCTGCTGAAATTGGTTTCGTTCGAATGGATATACTGCAAGAACCCTGCAAGAAACCAGTTTTGCCATCAATCTTGCTTCTATACTAAGGTATCAAAATCCCCGCATTATCAAGATAGAAATCGAGAAAGTTTACCTGTACACAGCATCAGAGTCGACTGGATGACACCTCGGCTCCAAATAAGCGTTTATTACTTGCAACACTTCTTTGTCCCTTTGTAAATCGCCTTTTAGGACATCTTTATTAGTAGGAAAGTTTTCTTTGTTATCACATTGCATGGCTTCGATGTGCCTTTTCGAATTTTTGGTCTTCTTTACGAAAGACAATCCTTCTGAGGCTATTCGTTGCAGAACCGTACTGTCACCTAGTGATTTAACAATCTGACAAGCAGACTCCTATAAACACGAAAAAAAAAAAAGAGTATAAGAACTTATTCAACCATTGCAGATAATAAAGACTAAATGGATGATACCATACCCTGCCAATCCCGTAAACTCCTTGTGAGTAATCCCCTCCAAGGATAACAGCGAGAGTAATCTGGAAACAAATCAGTCGCACATAAGCTATAACTTAAGCTCCGAAAAACTTCAAGAGAGTTAGGAGGAGTGAACAAGAAGAATTATTCGGGCCTATAAGATTACCAAGGAATTCCTTCCAAACCCAAGTTTTCTCTCGATATCATCCATTTCGTAACAAACAACATAACCACCATCGCCTAAACAGTTGCAAATGCTTAACGGTATTAGTATACCACCATATTGAAAAACACGATGGAAGATCCAGAAAAGAAATATGTGAAAACAGACTCGGGAATCTTACCGAGGCAAATATCTCTATATACAGTCCTTGCTCCAAACAAGAATGCATCAGAATCTGCAGTAAAACATCCATCCTGATGATCATAACAAAATATACCGATGAGATTGCTAAAATAAATGGGCAAATGATGATGATGATAACAGACTGATGCCGAATGGATTTTCAGTATTAATTCAATTGCATCTACTCACACATAATGATTCTGAGTTCAGTAACGCACATTGTGCTTCAGCCTCTTCAATCCTGAGAAAGTTCCATAAGATGTCAATGGACCATAAAAGAGTTAAGTACCTAGTTCATATGTCTATATGTCTATATCTAAAACCATGAAAACTCACAAAATCATCATCGATTCAATGCCAAAAAATCTAGCACTTAGTTTGCTCATTTCAATTACCTCAAACTCATTTTCTTAACCAAAATGATCAAGTTTGTAACATAATTAGCAACATCAAGGTGAAAATGACTCTTCCGAGACTCATAGGCTTACCCATCTAAGCAAGGAATGCCAAGTGCCTTCCCAAGAACTTTAGCTTCTTTTATCATACATGAAAACTCGGATCCACTGTTTCTTCGAATTGATGACAGTTGCTTTATATTTGGCTCTTCCTGAGAAAGCTGCATTATTTAAAGCAATGTCATAACAACCATGGGTACAAAGTACAAGGAACGGGCAAATAGTGCAATAATTAAACACAAGTTGAAGAATTCCTACCTCATTTCCAACATTTAATCTCCGTCTATAAGTAGCAGATTTGATAGCAGGAATTGCTCCATCTGACAAATAAATGTTAGTTGAGAAAAGTGATTGAAAATTGAAATGTTTCCCGACCAATATGCATCCAGAATGCAGATTACAAATTCGTAAACCATATACTTAAGCACAATTACGTATCAATGAATAATTCCACACATTTTCAGATACATGTTAAGATAATTGGAAATAATGAATTGCATTTAAACTGCTTTAGAACATATATAATCAAAACTGGAAGTAACCTTACCTGGCATCTTATAAGTTCAAGAATCAAAATTTGGATAACCTCCAAACATCTTTGTCTAGAATATAGAATATAAACTTGGTAGCTGAAACTGACACACTAATCACTTACATATTTTGAGTCATCTTTAGCATAGAAGAAGAAAAAACCATAATGAACACAAGAAAGATGCCAACTTTGTGAGTAAAGAGTAAGGTGTCATCACAGACAAATAAGATTAACACAAGCCCACAATTCTCGTAGATATGAGAAAGGGAAAGGTACCAGTAACGAAGATGAGGCTGCAATTCAAGGCAATGAGAGCTCTGATGCGGTGGAAGAGACCCCTAAGATAAATCTTGTCCTTGAGAGCACAGTGGGATTTGTTTACTTTCTGAAGTTGAACCATCCAGCAAGATAGATCTATGCACACCCTCTTGTTCCTTTTAAATTACATATTGATTAATTTGTATGACAATCAAAAGATGAACATAATTAATCAAAAATTAATTACTAGAGAACGACGGAACTTACTGGAGATGGTTAAGGGGGAGAGTTTTCTTGCAAGAATCCAAGATGTCCCACAGATTCTTCACACCCATCTTTCTCCAGCGCTGAAGAAATGAAGGCAAAGCTTTCACGGGTTTTGCAGATTTTGAATTCTTGATATGAAATTGGACCGTTGCTTTTCAAATTTCCGTTCAATACAGGTTTTTGAACACTTGCCATACCCAAAAAGGAAAAGAAAACCATTTTTGCGTTTCTTTCTTTGCATTTTTTGTATTTTGAGATAATTTCACTTAGAACCCTTATTTTTTATATAATTACAGACCATCATCCCTCAGGTTTCTGCAAGTAACGTTTGAAGCACAATTGTTTTGTAATAGTATGAACACGGAAAATGAATAATGAGTCTAGTGAGTAGTGGATGGATGAAAACATCACTTAAGACCAGGAATATTAAAAGTTTAAATTTGTTTAAAAAAAAAAAAAAAAGTAAACTTGAATTGTATTCTGGATTTGGATTGAGCTCCTTGTATATGAAAGTGTAAAATTTAGGGGTATATTTGGTTCATGAGTTTACACACAAGGAATTAGAATTAAAATCATAGTTAGTGTTTGGTTTTCAACTTTTTTAAAACACAACTACCTTCAATTAAAACCCACATCCCTTAATTAAAAATCAGTATTTCATCCTATTGGTAATTTGATTTTTAAATTTGAGTCAATACTTTTAATTTTTGTTTTGATTTTTTTGTTCATATTAATACTTTGAATGTCATTATATTAAGATCAACAATTGACTTAATTTTTTATTTTTGTATCTTAAAACCTTTATTCTTATTATAAAGTCATACATAACCAAACATCAATATTAATAATTGACTTAATTTTTTATTTTTGTATTAGTCTTAATCTCAAAGTTTCATGAGCCAAAGGTGATTTATAGGGTCATAATATATTCCGACAAAGCCCAAAAACCTAAGTTATTAAAATAATAATAATAATAATAATAATAATAAAGACAATTTAGAAATTAATTTTATTTAAAAAAAAATCAATTAAAAAGCAGTAGCCGAGTATACATCATTGTATGAAAGAGAGAGAGAGAGAGAGAGAGAGAGAGAGAGATAAACTTCATATATAATAATCATATATTTGAATTATAATTTAGAAGAAGAAGTGTATCACTTTATTAAGAACAAATTTTAAGGCCAACCTCCCAAGATTATACAGAGAGCAGCACAAGACAGTCATTTCTTATTCAATCCAAAATGGTTATCTTGAAGACTTGCTAAGTTCAAATTGAAAAATTCCAAGAAATAGTGAAATACACAATTTCAGGATCCAATTACACAGTTTATCCACAGAACAGCTGATATCCATGACAGTTTCACTGACAAACTAGCACAAAATTAGTATTCTTTCGTCCCGAAGTTCTTGCACCAGAGCTGAGAGGGAATTGGCCTGACCGGATTATGGGGCCTTTGCTGCAAAGCAAAAATGAAATATTGTTACTACACGAAAGCAAAGAGTCAATCAATGCATGCAAGCCTGTGACAGAGAGATAGCTGCAAACATTTGGTTATTGTGTCAAAAACTTAAATCGATCTTCATTCACAAAAGTTTCAATCCAGGAGAACTAACAGGAACAAATGAAAAAGAAATACAGAGAAAACAATCACTTTGGTAGAAGTTGATGTTATTAAATGAATAAAAGAGGTAGCTACAAAGTATGAAGCTCGGTTTGGTGTAAATAACGGAATAATCACTTTGGTAGAAGTTGATGTTATTAAATGAATAAAAGAGGTAGCTATGAAGTATGAAGCTCGGTTTGGTTAATAACGGAATTGGATTGTAAAAGTCGAAACTAGGAAGTCACCCTCCTAATCAATCAGTTATGTCATCCTAGGGGAGATAGAAATTTAGCATATGCTTTACATTGGACAACTGCACGGCAATACAAATCAATCCAACATTTCAATATATGATTGTTAATCTTATTAGCTGCATTATTATTACTCTTAACATAAAAAGAGTGAGCTAAATTGTAAGATAGTTGGGCAGAACATCGCAAAAGTGAGATTTACAAATATCAAAATGTCTTCAAGTTGAAATCAAGAACAAGTGGCTCACATGCACTTTAGAGAAAGTGGCTGAGGAAGCAAGGGGCAAGAGTTGTATTTCTTGTATACAATCAAGTACACTTGTAAATGGAAGAGTGATGAAAAAAGTATTATGAGCTGATTAGGGAAGATTCTCTAAGATAATGCCAAAAACATGGAGTAGAGAAGATTACAAATTTCATAAAATGTTATAAAATAGGAAACGGAATGTCATAGATGGACAATCATTACACTTTAACTAGAAAGGTAGATAATGTATTGCCTTTGGGGAATAAGGGGAGGATTTAATCAGCCCTTTAGTTGCCTTATAGATGCTTCGAATTTCAAACACAATAAGATCACCAAATTTTTTAAAGCAACAAATTATCAATGCCAGAGATGTGGATTCTGATGTTAATAAAGTTGTGAAGTGCTACAATGAAGCATCACATTGAACACATTTCAATGTTACATCAATCTTAAATACCAAATATATCCAGTCATACTTCAGTGTGAACAAGGTAGCAACTTTATTATCCTAAAGTCAATTTCAGCACTGTCGATCTAACACTGAGCTTACAATTGAACTGCCCAATAGATTCACAGCTTCTCACATGTCAATCCCAATACCATTGCCTACAAAGCAAGCCGAATCCAAAAACCCAATCTGTGATTGCAAAACTTATCTTTAATACTAAACTCATTAGGAGGAGCACTGTCGGTTTAATATTGAACATATGACCCTTGACAGCACCACTAGTTCACACCTGACCAAGTTCCAATCGTTCCATTCACAATTGTGTACCACTACCTGCCCCCCACCCCCAAGAGGGGAATCCTAAAATTCATCCTGAAACCTTGATTGTGAAACTTATATAATTTCATTTATAACCCAGGCTTCTACACTGCCACATAGTAGTATTCGTGAAAGAGTGAGGCCAAATTCAGATACATTAACACCACAACAGGGGACATCTTAATTTTGCAGCAACATTTGCAAATCACGAATAAATCATAGGGACAAAAAATGAATAACACCCTAATTTAAATTCAAATGATCCTAATTTTAGAGAACAGATGAAAAACAAAGAAACTTTTCATATGTTTCTGAATAAAAATTATTAGCAGAACATGCACTCAATGAGAAAATAATAATAATAATAATAATAATAATAATAATAATAATAATAATAATAATAATAATAATAATAATAATAATAATAATAATAATAATAATAATAATAATAATAAAATTAAGCATGTGCAGACAGTTCAGGGTTAGAAGCTAGTGACCTCGAGCTGGGCGGATTTCATGGCGATGGGAATGCAAATGAGAACGATTCCTGCCATGGCGATGGCGGTATTGCGTTTCCAGTGCACGGGCCTGCAATTAGGTCCGCCGGTCATGGTCCAGACCTTGGCCCGGAAGTCGCCGGCCGCATCGGCGTGGTGGTGTCCGTGGTCTCCTCCACCCATGTTGTTGAGAGCGTCGAGATTACAGAAATGGCGATGTGGAATTGGGGAGATTGCGAGTAGCGACTCGTTCACTTAAAGAAATTACAAGCCCTAATCTTGTAAACCGGTCCTTTACGGGTTATGAGTGAGTGAGTGACCCTAATCTTGTAAACCGGCATTTTTTTATTTTATTTTTTTCATTTTGGCATTTTTTTTTCTCAAGAAAATGGCATTTTAAATTTTTAACACCTAGATCCTAAAGGAATGGAGTAATTTATATTTTCTTCAATTATATGCAAACCACATTTTTTTCTTCAAAAATGTTTAAAGTCATGAATCAATTTGAATGTAATATTAAATTATTGATTAAAGAAGGGAAAATGACACTTTCCCCCCTGTGTTGTTTACTAATAACACTTTTTCTCCCTGTGTTGTTTATGTAACCACTTTATCCCCCTCAATTGTTTTTGAAGTGGCTATTTTCTCCCCTCTCCGTTAAATAAGTGTTAGGAATGTTAAATATGAGGGTAAAAATGACATTTCACTTATTATTATTATTATTATTATTATTATTATTATTATTATTATTATTAATGAATTTGGTTTGCAATATAACTGTACGTTTTAGACGTGGAGTACTGCAATATATTAGGGCGTTGGGTGTGACTTATTATTATTATTATTATTATTATTATTATTATTATTATTATTATTATTATTAGCAATGAATTTGGTTTGCAAACTGCAGTATATTAGAGCGTTGGGTGGGGTCGTTCATTAATAATAATAATAATAATAATAATAATAATAATAATAACAATAATAATAATAAGTGAAATGTCATTTTTACCCTCATATTTAACTGTCCTAACATTTACTTAACGGAGAGGGGGAAAAATAGCCACTTCAAAAACAATTGAGGAGGATAAAGTGGTTACATAAACAACACAGGGGGAAAAAGTGCTATTAGTAAACAACACAGGGGGAAAAAGTGCTATTTTCCCATTAAAGAATTATAGTAGTTTATTCGACTATTAGAAAGACACGTTAACACAAAGGGTTGTTAAGAATTACATAAATTTTTTCAAATGTTCAAGCTAAAGCGTTGTTTTTCGAATAATGAAATAAGCTCGTAACCACTATCCAATAGTGTACATATGGTCAACTTTGTTCTTGTATTATAACACATAAATTTTTTTTTTTTTTAACCAAATGTGTTGAACCAGTCAATTATCATATATTATTTTTTAATAATCATTTATTCAGGTGCGAATAAATGTCCATGAGAGAAATACGAACCAATCAGCGCGCCTCACGTGTCAGCATTCATTGATCAGGTGCATCTACTTTCACCTACAAGTGCACCTACTTTCACCTACAAGTGCACCTACTTTCGCCTGCAAGTGCATGTAATTTTGCCTTGTTAACATTCATTGATCGGAGTTCAGCGGGAAGTAATACCCCTAAAAACCACCCGCAAACATTCATGCACCTAGGTGCAACTACTTATAACTATAGGTATGCAACTACTTATAACTATTGGTGCAACTAGTATTGATGTTCAGTGTAAATTTTTACTTGCACCTATAATACATTTTACATGCACTTGTAATACATTTTACTTGCACTTCGATGTTCAATTATTTACAAAAATACCATCGCATTTTTTTGTAAACCAGTGTTTCTCATCCATTAGATCTGGACATATGAACAGACATCAGTCATTCCTATTTCGCTCATGGGAAATCCATTTGCACGAGAGTGTAACTTTATATATATATATATAGAGGGGGCGGGGGGTTATTTATAACTTAGCATAACTGATGTGATTTGAAGTTAAATATTTGAAATGAAATAGTTTACATGTGTCATGATATTTGATTTTGCAGTAATCAACTAAAACTGAGGTTTTCAAAAAAAAAAAAAAAAACTAAAATTGAATTTGATCATTTTTATCAGCTGTGAAGATTAAACATCATTATGGGTTATTCAGTTTTTGATAAGTTATTGACCGTAATCAATGTTCACCCCTACAAAAGGGTGTTGGTTACAAATTGTTGTATTAATATTTTACAGCTATATTATAAACTGAATAAAATAAACCACTTTAAGAATACTTAGAAAAAAAAAAAAGTGGATATATACATTTATAATTGAGAACATGATACACGATTAGACGAAAAAAAATCACAATATAACAATTTGTGATTTGTATTTTAATTAATTAATAAGTAAACTACTTTTTAAACACTTAATGGAGTTAACTAATGAATAAAAATAACTTTATTACCATAAATAGTAAAGAAAAATGTGTTAAAAAAGTTGAACAATATCCTTATAAGTTACTCCGTATAATTGAGAGGAAAATAAGGTATATATATTATTATGTTATAACGTTGTAGGTTATCGAAGTTTTTTTTTTTTTTTTTTTAAAGGAAAGATACGAATGCAATAATAATCAACCAAGTGAGAAATACAGGCCGGTGGAACAGATAGCCACGACCCTAAGACAGACGGAGAATCTGTTGTCCGAGCTAACACATGATTCGCTGACCTCTTGACATGGTGAACAGACACGTTCCCAATGTCAGCAGCAATACTACGACATTGCTTAATTAACAAACCAACATAAGAAAGGTCTAAATAGTTCAAATAAAAACGAGAGCACAAAATAAGACAGTCGGATTCAATAACTAAATTATTAAAGCCACTAGACTTTAACCAAGAGAGTGCCTCCTTCACTGCCATAGTTTCAGCCAACAAGTGATCACGAACACAATCAATCCGGACACTGTGAGCTGCGATAAAACGACCAGTATAATCTCTGATTACCACACCATACCCAACACCATCCGAAAAGATAGCTGCATCCACATTACATTTTAAAAAATTAACTTGCGGACGAACCCAAACAGAAGTAATCTGGACAACATTTGTAGTGTTGGCTACCTTTGAATAATTCAAATTCCATAACTCAACAGAAGTAATCTGGACAACATTTGTAGTGTTGGCTACCTTTGAATAATTCAAATTCCATAACTCACAGTATGATGCCACCGGCTGCTTAAGCCCAATACTAAAGAAAGCAACCAATATAGGTAAGTTTTTTAATTTTAAATTTAATGTTAGTCTTGATGATTGCATTAATCGTCTCAAATTTTAATTCATTTTGCATTCATACCTAATGGCTTCTAATCTCTTAAATAGGATATTAAAGAATAATTATGGTAGGCAAGCAATCTTTCAAATTTCGAAATATTTAAATTCCAATGTAATTGATGAATTTTAGTTTAAAAAGAAAACACTGAAAACGACAAAATTTTTACTGGACAGAAGAAATGAAAATATTATTATTATTTTTTGGCCATGATTTTATTATTATTATATAATATAAATATAAAAGGAAATTATGGAAGTCAAAATATCATTTTTTATTATTTTAATACTCCGTAATATTTAATAATTTTAAATTCGAATTGTACTCGAATTGCGTTACTAGAGTTTGATAGTAACAAGGTGGGTTAACGAATAGTCCTCTTCGGCGCTTATCAAGAAGAAGAAGCCCCACGCTTCGACCCCACCGTTCATCATCTTCTCTACCTAATCACTAAAAATTCACTCTTATTCCGCTCGTCTCTGCAGATTTCTCTTCAGTTCTTCGTCTAACAATGGCCCTGCAACTATGGGAGGCCTTGAAAGAGGCAATCACAACATACACGGGTCTATCTCCGGCTACTTTCTTCACTGCTGTTGCTCTGGTTTTTGCTATCTACCATTTGGCGTCTGGGATGTTCGGGTCCTCTAATCACAGCAACTACCAGAGGCCCAGGCAGTTGGAGGAGGAGATGCAGCCCCTGCCGCCGCCGGTTCAGGTCGGGGAGATCAGCGGAGAGGAGTTGAAGCAGTATGATGGGTCTGATCCTAAGAAGCCTTTGCTCATGGCCATCAAGGGCCAGATCTATGATGTTTCTCAAAGCAGGTATATTCCCGATAGTTTTTTTGTCTTTTTTGTGGTATGGGTATTTGATTTCTTTTGTTTTGAGTAAAGGTGTGGCTTTTTGCTTTTGATCATTTTTCTGAAATTCTCTGCTTTTGGGTCTGGGATTTCATTGTTTAAGCATAGGTTAAGTGTTATTGTAGTATAAATGGAATATTTCAAGATTCAATGTGGAATTTTTGGCCTTTTTGAGAAAGGGGTTAACAGTGGAAATGTGACACATTTTTTTTTAATGCTTTTTAGTTCCCTGGCAACTGATAGTCTAATACATACTGAACCCTTCTTCAACTTTTCTTCAGATTCTAGTTTCTTGGGATTCAACACACAGTACTAGGTTTAACTAAGATTCTGGAATCTATATTCTGAAGGTGTATCTTGAGACTGCTGGAGTTTGTGATGTGCTGATGAAATTTGTATACAAATGCATGAAATTTTGTGTGTCCCCTTCTATGGAATGAAAAAGAAAATTTGATTACAGTTTCAGTAAAGATGCTTTTTAATTTAACTGTGGGTCACCTCTGTTATCTTGTCCATTTTAAGTATCTAAAGATGAGTTTGTTAGCATTAACCCTAAAATTTAACATTAATTGCCAAAAGGATTGAATTTGTTGTTAATGAGATTCACCCTTTTTGGCTAACGCTTTTACGTGTGCACATGCTTTCTGATTTTGTGTATTCTTGCAGAATATTTTACGGACCTGGGGGACCTTATGCATTGTTTGCTGGAAAGGATGCTAGTAGAGCTCTTGCCAAGATGTCGTTTGAGGAGAAAGATCTTACTGGTGACATCTCCGGGCTCAGTCCTTTTGAGCTCGAGGCCCTACAAGATTGGGAATACAAGTTCATGAGCAAATATGTCAAGGTTGGAACTGTCAAGAATGAAGTGGGCGAAAGTGAGGGAACTGCTAATGGCGAACCTTCAGAGGCGACTGAGCAGCAAGCTGATGTCTCACCCGAGATTGCTAAGTTGGCAGAGGACAGGCCATCTAAAACCGTTAACCCCGTTGAGCATACTCCACCAGAAACCATTTCTACTGAAGGAGTTAGTGCATCTGATGGCAATGCGGACAAAAAGGACTAGAAGTCGCCATATGTTCATCTAAAGCACCAACGTGTGAGCGAGGAAAGCAGCCTCTTATGAAGGGATTGTTATTGGATGTCTATCTGTTATCTCCTTTTCATGAAAACTTAATTCTATGTAAAATGCTTCTTTAGGTAAACTTCTTATCTGAACTCCCAGTTTGCTCTAATGAAATAATGAACCAATGCCCAGCAGTGAATACCCTTATTCATGCCTCATTTTTCCACAATCTGATATCTTTCCTATCCCATCCCCTCCTGAATGTCTGGTATGAGTTGGCATCAGGGGTTGGGTCACGGGAATAATAGTTGGTGGGCTATAGAGGCCTGCTCTGTGTTAGTTAACAGGGATGAAGGTAGGCCAGTTAGCTGGTGAGGGTTCCATATTGATGTGAGATGATGGAAGTAAGGGAATGAGAGCGAGAATGGCCATCACTGTCGAGCTCTGAGACATCTTGTCAGAATGAAATTGCCCGTAAAAGCATGATTAAATACTTATAGTCCTGTATTTTTCACAGTACCTCTTGATGTGGGATTTTGGGACTATGAAAATGCCTGTCCTGCAGACATTGTTGAGGTTGACAGTCTCAAAGTGATTTTAACTCTTTCCTTGTACCGGAGAAATGCCTGTCCAGGCAGGGTAGCTCCAATCAAGTTGGTCATTGTCTGGTTGACTATGGGCTACTTAGGCTGGTTTATTTTCTTGTGATCCTTTGTCGACGAGGGTCACAAGATTGGATTTACTCGGTGCACACTCTTGAGTAGTGATTGCGGGTTTCCTGATCACCCGAATGCCTGTTCTGCCAACCAATCTTATAAGAATCATCTTATCATAGTATTGAACAGGGCTGATAGGTAACGGAAAGATTGTTTAGGCCAATATGCACTTTTTATAAGCCTACTAAAATCCAGAGATGTGTTTTTTAGTTGTATAAAGTATGTCAAAAAAATTTGGTAGCACCATAACAGACTCAACAGTTGCCATTTTTGTCAGACTGTTAATAATTACCATCATACAGTGTGGTATAGTTTTAGAAACAATGGTGCAAAAACATGAACAGGGCAGCTTATGTGAGTCCAAGGTTTCTGTCAATGTTCCATTTTCATGATTGGTTTCTGTATTTTGGCTGTATCTAAGCCTCCCTAACATGGTCTGATCCTTGTTAAATAGACCCACTCAACCTATCTTCTACTCCTGTCTCCCCTTCTTTTCCTTGTCAGGATCTCAGACATGAGAACTCATCGGCCAGTTCTGCTTCTGATCATTCTGTTTACTCTCCATCACGCAATTCATTCCAGGCTCATCGATCCCGGTATTGCTGAAGCAGAAGCAGAAGCAAAGAAGCCATTGGTGATGAAAACCGGGCTCTCGTTTCCTCCCCGCCATCTGTGTGGTGCTTCTCGGGTTGAAGAAGTGCCGGGCAGCATAAGCAGCAGCAAGGCAGATCGAAGTTACAGTGTCTCGGACAAGGTTGTTCCTGGAGGCCCCAATCCACTTCACAACTGATGAATGTTAGTCAACCTTGTTAGGCTTGTACCAATACACTGTATATGTATATGTATGTCAATTGGCAACACCAGAGGGATGTTCTTCTCCTTTGAGGTTCATTACCTATTTGTCTGTAATCAAAACATAGTATGTATCTGATATGCGCTTGTTATACCCGTTGAATATGAAATTATTTTCTCTGTACTTTTTTTGTACAGAATAGCTTCATCCTCGATCTTTAATAAGTTCTTGTGAATAAAGCGACATAATAGATGTCAGGAGAGAGCTAGCTCTCGACTGCGGAATACCAGGCTATGTTACCAAAAAGATAAACACAAAATGAGCCAAACACATGTGGACCTAGCAAATGGATCAAATTGTCTGCAAGCAGACAAAAAAAAGCCATGTTTTAAGCCAAGACTCGACTGATTAAAAACCCAGAAAACGCATCAGGTATTGAAAAATGGACAAATTATTTTGTAGACCCGGATTTAAAAATACACAATTTATATACGAAATGTTTACAATTTACATACTAAACATTCACAATTTACTGTCTTTCATTCTGTCATCGCAAATTAGTTAACCGGCAGCCTGCAGCATTCATGACTGATGACATCACCTCCCAGTCTGCCTTTTTTTTTTTTTTTTTATCAATCGTTGACATTTTGCTGCACTTAACAAATAAAAACAGAGGAAAAGAAATCAAAAAATGTTCCCATTGGTTCAAGAATCATAAACAACAGAACAGCACTGCACGTTAGGATAAGTCGAGACTCAAGACAGTTTCCTGTGTAATATTGTTTACATATGATGTTCTTCTTTGTTAATTAACCAACAAAATAAACTAGCCTAAATTGCTTATACCTGACTAGCTCAAATCAAGAAGGCATTTTTACTGCGAATCGAACATGTAATTTTATGGTTATCGAGTCAACAACCCGATCAATTTAGTTGGGATTATCTTATGAAGAGAACAAAGTCAAGATTAATGTTGTCCCTGTATACGTAGTACCTAGGAATCTAGGAGGTAAACCATTCATTAATACAGCTAAAACTCCACGGAAACGTGTGGATAAGTCATAAGCGAAACAAACGAGTGATCAAACTTTGTTTATGATAGAACTGTAGATGTCAACCCTGCACTTTGGTACAAAAAATATGTTTGACTTTTGCGGCATCTACATTCTTATATCTTAATGATATGATGCATTTAGAAAAATGGTTTCTTTTTTCTTTTTTTTTTAAAATAACTCGTGAGATGGATCCTAATGGCAAAACTGCACAAGTTATATTCAGATGACTTGCAGCCTACTATCATATGACTTTTCTGCAGCTTTTCCTCTATAAATACACAGTTTCAAGGCTCCAAGTTTCCAACCAACACCACATTTCTTCTAACCCTTCATTTCAGATTTCCAGCTTTGTTGTTTCTTGTTCCGGATCAGACCAGCCGACGACAATGAAACTGCAGAAAACATGTTTGGTTTGCTTCATCGTCACCATCATCATGGTATCATCGTTGGTCCGTGAATCCAGCTGCCTGGAAACTGCAGAAGAAGCAAGAATAAGAAGCAAGTTCTTCTCCACTTTCTTCAGGTACTTCCACACCATTCCCCGCGTCCCGGAGCAGCGCAAGGAAATCCGCCGCGTGTCGCGCCGGTTGGTCCCTTGTGGACCAAACCCTCTTCACAACTGATATCCATCCATATATAGATATATGTGTCTGATGAAAGAATTTGCAGAGTACAGTATATATGGTGTTGAAGAGACGATTGAAGGGCTGAATAAGAGCTGTGCAGATGACTCAAAGTTAGAATTTTGCCTAGTAGGAATTGAATGAACAAACGTTATATATATACTCAACAGAATTGTTAATAAGAGAGGTTTATATATACTTTTAAGTAGTGGTTGCAGATCAGATTTTCCCTCTCATCCAATACAGAATTGTATTCTTTGGTTGATATATATGAGGTTTTGAATTTTGGTTTGGAATTGTGATTATGATATCAGGACAATAAATCTTTTTTTTTTTTTAACCATGTTTACACTTTAGATTGTACACTGTTTAGGTTGATCAAAGGAGTTGATTTACATCATAATTGGTGATTTCCTCAAGTTTAATATATTCACTCAAAACTAATGAATTCATATATTTAATATTGTCACAAAAGTCAAGATTGCAATAAGAACCATTATTATAATAATTATAATTAAGAAATTAAGCCCGCATGAAATTGAGCCCGCATGAGTAGCTCAACTGGTTATAAAGGTGAAAACTTGAAAGAATGACCAGAGATCTAAGCAAAGGTCTAGCCTCTGTTGAGTTACCATGATTTACATCTTCCCAAATGCTCTGTTGGACCGGGGTGTGGGGGGCCCTTAAGGTTGGGGTTCAATCTTTTGAAAGAATAATTAAGATATACAACTTTTTAGCTAATTATTTTCATAAAGTTTTTTTTTTTTTTTTTTTTTGAGGGGAGGGGGGGGGGGGTGAGGGGGGTGGATGATAACTATTTCATTATTGGTGATGATTAGGATAATTAAGCACAATTTTATGTTTGTATACACATCTATAATATATATATATATATATATATATATATATATATATATATATATATATAGGGTTGAGTTCAAATGAGGACAACAATATATAGAGGACTGTGAGGACAAATAATGGACACACAACAAACTGACACACAACTTAATACATAATGACACACAAGAATAAATGTAAACATTAGGTTTCGAACCCAGGTTCTATAAATTAACAAAACTAGCATGCGACATACAAACTGTGGCACACGACTTCATTCGGCCATGCACACAACATATCGGCTAATGGCACACACTACATCTGTCCTCACAGTCCTCTATAATATACTTGTCCTCATTTGAATACATATATATATATATATATATATATATATATATATATATATATATATTGAAAGGAACACATCTAATACTTTAATAATATTATTGTTGTTTATTTATTGTGCTGATAATAATAATAATAATTTTTGGGTTGCATCAAATATGGTAGTAATAAGTCACATCACACTATTTTTTATTTTTTGGAGATGAGTACATAGTAAATTCTGTTATTGTGTAAAACGAAAATCGTTGTGATGGATTTAAAAAAGATAATGTTGACAATAATAAACTTAATGATATTTCTAGTATGACAATCATGCATCACTATTCAGCTACATATTTTAGGCAACACATCACAATACTTAATTCTTAGTTATAAGCGTAAACAAGAGCCAAACTAACTTGAACTTATACATGCTTAAGCTTGAGATCAGCCTTTACTGAACTTATAAATTTTAATTTGAGTTTGACTTGTTAATTTTTATAAAATTCAAGCGCTGTTCAATTAACTTGAATCGAGTTTAAGTTAGAAAGAAAATTATGAGAGCGTATGGGAGGGGGTGATCGTGAGTGACTCAACAAGTAACGAGTCAAAAAAAAAACTTAAATTTAAATTTGATTCAATTACGAAATCAATTCAATTTGGTGAGAGCCACAATTATACCATTTGACCATATTACTTTACAACAAATTACATTCCATGAAAAAGTAAAAAAGGTAAAAACAAAAACAAAAGGGAGGGAGAATTAGTCCTGTAAATTGGTTTACCGCCAAATCAAGAGCCGCCATTTTCACAACGTCGCCCTCGATCCAAACCCTCCGATCCGCCATATTCTCTTCACCTATCGCATACTCTGCGGGGAAAACCCTTCCAAGTAGCAAACTTTGTAGTTAATTGATTCCAGGAATCAGACACCAAAAATGCAGATTCGAGTAAAATGCAGCTGCGGTGAAAGCTGCGCAGAATGGGCAATTGTGGAGCTTCAAGGCGTTATTGAAGCCCAACCCGCCGTAATGGATCATCTTCAAAACCTCGAAATTGGCGTCCTCTGTCGCCCTTCTGCTCAGGTCAGGTTCAATTTGTATCTCCCAAAATCATTTTCCCAATTCTCTAAACTTCCCACCTTTCTTAATTGTAACCTTCTTTGATGGGTAGTTTAAAGTTATTAATTTTCTTGATGGGAATTTAAGATTTTGTTCCTATTTTTTTTCAGGAAGTTTATACATTTACAGTTGGGTATCATGAGCTCACAGGGAACAAAGTGCCCTTGAAGAAACCTATGCTAGTATTGAAGAAAGTGAAGCATTCCAAGGAGGGAGGTATTGGCATGAACTCACCTAGAGTGGAATTGGATGTGGTTGGGATTATTCGCCAAAGGATTCTCTTCAAAACCAGACCAAAGGCACTTATTTCCAGTAAGATTTTCACTTACTATTTGCAACATTTCATTCTTTTAAGGAAATAAATGGAAGTAGGACCAATCTAGCCAATTTGATAGGACCGTAGATCGGTAACCACAAGGTTTCTTTGTTTGAGTCAGGGTTCGATCCTGTGACCTTCCCTCAAGGAGAGCAACAGAGGTGCCATTTGAGCGCAATATGCTTGGCTCAGCTAACTTCTTGTTATTCATATTCTTTTGGGAAATACTAGGTTGCGTAGGGATGGTAGTTGGGAGCTTGACACTTTCTGAGCCCATGATTTACAAACCTTTAAAGGGTGTTAAAAATTAATAGAGGGCTTTCAAAATTGTTGATCAATTATTTGAATTTTTGCGTGTTTTTCTGTGTGGGGATCATATCACTTGCCCTTCCTTAGCAAATCGTCATGTCCTATGTGTAGTTTCAATTCCACGTACATCATCAGGCTAAGATTGCCTTTGGTCGTCTAGATATGCAAAGCTAATAATGTTGGCTGATATGGTAGTTCCATAGTAATAATCATACCAAGATTCACTTTTGGTTCTATAAAGCTTTCATCTTTGATCTATTATTGTATTTCAATGAGAACTCGTTAGACTTGAAAACTTCTGATACCCTGTATATGCCTTGTAAATGTGGGAAATTAGTCAGCTAGTTATTTTCTGATAAAATCCCAACCTGTTTGCTATTAGCTGGTTCTGCTTTCACAATGCAGTCTCAATAAGGCTTTTTTTTTTTTTTTTAAAAAAAAGAAAAAGAAAAAAGGAAAGCAATCCATAGTGATGCAGGTTCAGATTAAGAAACGACGGGTTCTGTTTCTTCACATAGCACTATTTCTACTTCTTACAATTTCATTACTGACATTCCACTAACCAATTCATTGCATCTGAATCTTAGGCACTCCAATTTATTTTATTTTATTTTTCCTGCAGAACCCCAATCTTCTGTGAAGGAAAAACTCATTGCAACGAATTCATCAAAATGAATGGTAGTGAGAAAACCTGTGGATTTGGTGATTGTATAAAGATCTTGCTTCAAAAGCAGCTTACCAGGTGAAGAAAAACATAATCCCAGCCAGCGTAACTATGGTTGGATAGCCAGTTTAGCTTGATATGCTCAATGATTTCTTCTGCAAGTTTGTATCTTGACTGAATTAATAGCCTGCAACTGCAGAAGATCTCTCTCTTTCCTTTTGGATGAGGCACCATATGTTAAATTAGAGTAATATTAGATGTATTTTCACTATTTACTCCATTTTTAATCCTTACCTATGTGATCCCAGTAACTTTTATTTTCTTTTTCTTCTTCCAATAAAATTTGAATGTGCAAAAACTCACTTAATATTTTTTGTTAAATTATTGTCTCTGTGGATAAGTAGACTGGTCTGCCCCAGTTTCGTTTTTTTTTTTTTTTGTTTTTTTACAAGGGAAGCTCGAACCCATCACCTCTTGCATAGGGAAGCAACTTAGTACCATTGGATCACAAGGTCCTTGGTAGTTTTCTTTCTGTTTGATTTGGCTTCCTGATTTCTCCAAGGTATGTTCAACCTGAAAGAGTTTTGGATTTGTCAATTAAATCGGACCCAATCAGTGAGGTTTATCGGAAGTCATTTTCTTAATTTTCAACCACACCATAAGTTTTGGATTTGTCAATTAAATCGGACCCAATCAGTGAGGTTTTTCAAAAGTCATTTTCTTAATTTTCAACCACACCATAAGTTTGTAAAAACTAAATACAACTTTTTATATATATAAAAAGAGCTAATACCATCTGAGGTCCTCCGAGTATACTGGTTTTGTCACGTTTAGTCCTAAACTTTCAAATTGACCATATGTGGTCCTTCGACTTTCAAATTTAACCATTCGTGGTCCAAATTAACCACCCATGGTCCTTCAACTATTAAATTTTAACCAATCATGGTCCTTTCAAGAGGATCGCAGTTGGTTAAATTTTAAAAGTTGAAGGACCATGGGTGGTCAACTTGGACCACGAATGGTTAAATTTAAAAGTCGAATGACCACAGATGGTCAATTTGAAAGTTTAGGACTAAACGTGTCAATACCACTATACTCGGAGAACTTCATATGGTATTAACTCTATATAAAAATCACACCAAACAAAATTATCATTTATAAACTAATTGAAACTGTAATTTAACAAATAAATAATACGGAGTACTTAACTAATAAGTATAAAAAAAATATATCCAAACAAAGTTCAAGCTAAAACTAATTTCTAGAGTATAGCAAAGCAAGCTAGATAAAATGATAAATAATGTTGATAAAGGAAGATCACCTCAATCAAGCACCAAAATAAATGTTATTAAAAAAAAAATTAGTTTCAAAGTTTGTATGTTTTATAAAATATTTTTTAAATTTAAATTTTTATATTATTATGAAATATTTTGAATATTATGACAATTACAAATATTTTAATAAATTCATAATTTTTGTTTAATTTTATAATGTGTCTTCAATCTATTGATTTATGTTTTACAAAATTCATATAAATAAATGGAATGATTACATTTCGATTTACAAACTAATCATACAATATCCAAACTAATGTATGTTTTAATATAATTTTTTTTCTCAAATTTCATTTAAGATAGTTTAGTTCAAATAAAATACTTTTGGGCAGACCGGAAGCGGGTGAACCGGGCTTGTTGTGGGCTGCTTGAATGGTTCCTGTAATCCTGTCGTCTGTCATTACAGCCATTTCAGAGATTAGGTTTTGGAAGACCAAAAATCTCCGCGTTATTCCGCAGAAGAATCCTCTCAATTTTCTTCATTAAGGTATTCGTTTTTTTCTTTTTTTCAACCTCGATCCTATGCACGATTTATATGGCCAAGGCATGAAATTGTTGATATTAATGTTATCCCAAATCTTTCTGTGTATTTTTTCTTTAATTTGAGATTCTTATGTTAATTTTTTTTATAAATTTATAGAAATTTCGAATTAGACTTAAGACTCTCGGATTTTGTTGTTTTTCGCAAATTCACGAGGTTGTAGCTGAAATAAAATAGCGATGAATTGGTAGCTTAATAATTATCCTATACAGACCAATATTTTTCAATTTCTTTGATTTATGAGGGGAGCAGCAATTTGTTGTTTGATGCTAAAATGTGATAGAGAAGGGAGAAAGAGGAATGAAGTCCATTAAGTAGCAATTATGTCCTTGAAAGTTATATAGTTTTAGGCTACTGTTGACTTTGGGGCTTTGAATAGGCTGAACTATCCAATTCTGGAATTCCTTTACTAATTCTAAAACCTTGACAACCATTGCACTTTTGTTTATTGATGTAACATCTAACAATCGGAAGTCCTTTTTCTTTGTTTCAGGCCGGGCAGAGAAAGTTAATTTGCTGAGTATTTCAGGAATTTGGCTCACCAATGGAAACGAAGTAATGTCTTCTTTCTAGCGATTTATATTGTTGGCTTTCTACAATTCTTTACTATTAGTCTAGAAGCACAAATTGCTGAAGGTTAGAAAGTACTTTGTGAATAGTAATTTTTGTCCTGAAGAAAAGGCAAGTGATTAGAAATTAACTTTTGTGGAAAACTTGTATCTAGACTGGATGGGTATGTGTAGATTAATTGCACTTAGGCTTTTGTATGTTGTAGATTGTCTGATCCTTATTTAAGAAGTACCTTTTTTAAAGATAAAGGTATAAGGTAGTATTAAAGTAGGGAACGGAGCTTTGGATCAAATTAGATAGTCATAAAATCCACCGTGTTATGAGATACCTTTGTTAAAGATTTCATCGTATGGTCATATATTAAGTAAACATTTTCATAGATTTCTAAGTGTTTCCTCTCCTCTTGATGTGCTAGGGGTCGTGTAAGTTGGGATGAAGCTAATCTGGTGGAAATTGAGGCAAACAAACCAGTCAGGCAGAAAATAACTGAGCCTAAGACACCTTATCACCCAATGATCGAAGATGATGGTATATTATAATTTTTTCTTTTTATGCTCCATAATTCAGTCATTATATATATATATATATATATATATATATATATATATATATTCAGAACATTGATATTTTAAAAGTGTGATTGGATGCAAATATGCAAGTTTCATGTCAACCATGAAAACTATATTTCTTTGTCAGTCACGATTTCATGCAAATGTTTCATATGCTCCAGTTGGTTTTGTTTATTGAACTTTTCTCGTTGTGCAAGGTCTCTTTAGTATTCTTTAGATAGAGAACTTGATTATGTGCATTATTTTGTTTATCACCTTAAGAAAATATCGGTGCATTGGTTGTTAGTTGTCCTACTCTGAATAAAATTTTGCTTATATTTGTTATTTGTTGATCCTTACCCTTTAAAGAACTAATCATCAAGTAAAATTGCTGTTTGGATGCAAGATACTACCATATGCCACAGAACCTGGATTGCGTCAATTTCTTTGAATCTACCCAATCTAGTGTTTTTCCCATCAGTTTTACCCGATGTTAATGATTGTTGTAGGATCGTTGTCTCCTGTGCGGCATAGCTTTGACGATTGCCCTGATAACGGAATTCATGCTGAAGCGATACGGAGTGCATTGAATGATGTCGCATCTTCTAGTAAAGATAAATTACGACCCATTGGGTGGCCAGAATCTGACGATGAGGCAGCTGAAATGGATGAAGATGATGAAGGTCCAATTCAATGTCTTTAACCTATCCCTCGTAGTTCACCCTGGTCCGACAGAGTATTTGGGAGGATATAAGCAGACAAGGCCAAATGTTGGTGTGCACAAGGGATATACCCACTTTGGGCATAATCCCTACACTGCCGCTTCCGAGTTTTGAACTTTGGTCTCTTCTCCCAAATACTCCCTACTGAACCAGTGAGCTAAAGCCCGTGCGGGCAATCCCTTGTATTTCTTGTTTACCTTTGGCATGTTCTATTTGTATGGAAGACCATCCTGATTTTCATCTACCCCGTATGTCATAATCCTACTAGGTTCTGATTGGGAAAGAGGCAAGGTCTTTAGGGAACAGAGGCGAGTCCACTATGATGAATATTTACGAGTCAAAGAACTCCTTGGGAAGGGCTCCTATATGGAAGATGAATCTGATGAAGAGAACAACGGCGTGGAGAAGCAGGGTGGTAGGCACCATTCTTCGTCATCTTCATCCTTAACAGCTGGTATTAAGGACATAGAGATCAAGGAAGGTGGGCCTGGCATTTCTAAACGGTCTGCTGCACCCAACTAATGGAGCCTAGAAGCTGACCCAAAATAACTTCTCACTGTTATAGTGCCATTTTCATTACTGATGTCATTACAGTGCTTTGGACACCCCATTTGTGTGTTATCCATGTTCAATTGTGATAGTAGAATGTAAATAGACACTTTGCAATGTGAAAAAAGATTCTGGTTATCTCCCCATCCTCCATTAGATTTTAGTGTCAATGTTTTGCACTTAAAGTGGGAGGAGCACACTTTGAAATCATTATGGAAGGTTGTATTATTCTGGATTTTTTTTTTCTTGGTTTGCGATCATCCTTTGTTTAGATCTCTCCCTTCTGCTTTTGGTTTTGCTAAATATTCTTGAATACAACTCTGATTGCCCTGAAGCACTGTTAAACAATGAATAGTTTATATACACAGTGAATTACATGGGAAAAATAACATATTTGATCTTTGAGTCTATACCTGCTCAGGTATCTACTTAAGAAATGGGAAGATAAACTCATAGAAACATTGAAAATGTCAATATCTCCAAAATCATCACTTCAAAAATAACTAAAGAATTAAAAATAGACATGCCAATAACTATGAACTGGCTAACACATTAATCAACCCAAAATAAGGTACAAATCTATATCGAGACTTAGCAACCGCAATGTGAGATTTGTTTCAGATCGAGTCTTAGCAATGTGAAATCTTCACCCAATGTTGTGGGAGTTTCAACCAATATGTCTAGACCTAGTAGTCGCACTGTGAGATCTTCATCTAATGTTGAGTTTAAGCCAATATGGTGGTCTTATTGTATGCACTGTTGTGTTGAGCATATAACTATTAATGTGCAATCCGACTATTATCTTAGCCTTTTAATTGAGATCGAACACATGTTTCAATTTGGTATCAGAGCCGTACCAAAGACCATAGAAATATTTTTATTATTTTGAAGGTAAATATAGAAATATTTGAACAGCCCAAAACCACCTAAGTGAGAAGCCCAGCATGAGGAGCCAGGAGGTCCAATATGACCAATTCGATCAAACTCATCTTAGGAACTATGCTCATGTGCTTAGATCTTCCGCCATTTCGTCCCTTCACTGCAAAACTCTGTAAACATCAAAGTCTTAGGTGGAATCTGGATGCTGTCTCCATAATTTCTGAATATCATGATCGCTTCTTTATCTGCACTTGTATTCTCATCAAGCAGCTTCATTCTCCAAACCGCGCTTGCCTTCTCCCTCTTTCTCCTCCTCTACTTGTTCAAGATCCCTGCTTTATTCCTCCATGGCCTCTTCACCTATGTCCACCCAGACGACGTCAACCCCACTTCTTCAAACGGTGCCAGGGCTGCGATTCGACGGCCAGGTAGTGTTGAATCTGAACTCAAGCCCAGGAAAAAGTCTAAATTCGAGTTTGATGAAAATAAAGCTCAGATCTTTAGGCTGAAGCTGATTGACACCCACCTCCAAACAAGAATATATTTCAATGAATTTAAACATGTTTTCAATTCCACTGTTGTAGCTGTTTCCTGCTTGTTGCTTGACCGGTTCTTGGGGAAATCTGGAGATTCTGGGTGGCCAGGACATGGATCTGTGGTTCCGGTCTTTTTAGGATGTTTTGTTGTGTGTAGGCTGTTTGTTTTGATAGCTAGGACTGCTTTTGAGGGGTCTTCCTCCAAGAACATAGAGAGGCAATTGAGTTTTGTGATTGGGATTTTTGGGTTTGTGCTGGGGATATGTATTGTGTCTGGGCTTGTTCCAAAATGGATTCTTGACTTTGATTTTGGATTATTGGATGGGTTTGGAAAGCTCCTTGTTGCTCTTTTTATGGGCTGCACTGCTGGCTTCTTGTATACCCCTGCATTGAGGAGTGCCCGGGCCTTTTGGCTTGGAACCGATCAGATTCGTTGCAATTTGTCTATTATCTCTTGTGGATGGTTTGCAGGAATGCTTCTTTATGCTAACTATTTGATGATTACATTGACTTCATTGCTTTGGATTAGTCCATTTTCTGAACTACTTGTGAACAAGAATTTTGATCAAAAGCGAGTAGAGTATGCTACTAAGTTGGTGGGAAATGTGGGTATGCTGAGATCAGACTTGGATAAATTTAGGGTCTGGTGTTTGTTGGCTTCTGGTATTCTTCAGATCATGTCTTTGCGTTCGAACGTGCAAATGTACTTGAATGAAGCGGTGTTGTGTTGGTACCAGAGACTGCATTCCAGCAAAGTTCCCGACTTGGATTACAGCAGGGCGAAGGTTTTCCTTCACAACCACTATCTCTGTATTGCAGTCTTGCAGTTTTTCGTTCCTGCAGCTATGATACTTCTCCTCAACGCCTTATCTCAGACTGGTGATAACTTGATCTCAAGTTTCCCATGGATGTGTAGTTTATTACCTTGCTCTGTGCTGCATAAAGAAGTGGCTTTGTTTATGGCTTGGTGGGTTGTCTTTGTTTTGGCCACGTTTACTTCATCAGTTTTGGCTTTGTATCGACATGGAATTTTGTACGTTTCTTGATAAATATGTCTTTTGATCCCATCGTGCCACCAAGTTGTCTGGTCTTTATCTGGTTTTACTCGATCTGCATCATGTAGTGATAACTTGCATGTAAAGTGGAGTCACATTGACACTTTTAGGAGGCTTTTTTCGTTCTCCTCTACGTCTCCAGTGTCTTGAGCATATGTACACGTATCATAAATTCTTACGGGAAAGAACAAAGAACAATGCTTGCATTCGTTTTGCCTTTTTGAGATAGTCTCGTGATTCTTTTTTTCTGGGGTTTGATTATTTCCTTCCTGGTTGTTGAAAAGCGAGTGACTCTTGAAGATAACAAATAACAATATAGAATGTTCAGTTCATCTTTTCATGCAAAGAGAGGCAACATTTCATGTTTATAGCTGCAGTTGTTGGTATGATAACATCTAATCAAGTTGTTTATATGCACTTGAGACAGACTTTTTGCTGATATGTTGCTTGTATGTTTTTTGATTGTGGGGAACTCTTAGCATGGAGCATTGTTGAACAAGTTTCTTTATAGTTATAGTTCTTACTCTCCATTATCTGCAATGCCAATGGTATGCCATTAGCACACCACCCGTAGTCACTATTCAAGGGTGTGCACCCCGGCCCCCGCCTTATGACCTTAGCCAACAAAGAATTGCAAGGAGGTAAATCAGTCTAGGTTGTCCATAACTGATAGGTTCAGACCAAGAAGAACAATAGGTTGCTCCCACTGGAGTCAAATTTAGAACCTTGTGGTTACCAAGTCAACAGTCGAACCAACTTAACTAGGCTTATTTAGTTGGTTAAAACATCTTTTTGAAGCAAATTTTTATGTGGATTGGGCCAGATAGCAATGCATATTGACTCTTATTTGCTTATTTTGGACTCTCCTCTTGATGATATTTGACAAATCTTACTTACTTTTTCATGTATCAAGAAAACAACTTCAACTTCTTTAAGAAGAAATATAACTTCAGCTGAGATAGTAGTCTAACCTACCAAATAAGATCTCTCTATGATTCACCTGTTTTCAGTCCCTAACTCCCCACTTCCTAGACAGGTACATAATAAAAGAAGTATGCCATTTTGAAAGGTTTGCCAGCTGCATGATGCAGCTACCTACTCAATTATGGTCATGTATTATTGCAAAGTTGTATTTCATTAATTGGTTTATGTACTTTTCTTGATAGCTTCAGTTGTATTTCATTAATTGGTTTATGTACTTTTCTTGATAGCTTAAGTTATATTTCATTAATTGGTTTATGTACTTTTCTTGATAGCTTTACTCTCTCAACCTAGACAAGTATGTGTTGGTAACTTGGTTTTATGATTTTTGGATGATTGTGGGTTGGTCAAAACTATTGGTCGAAATGATCGAAAAATGGCAAGAAAGACTTAACACCAATAAAAATGACAGAATTCTTTTATTGTCTTGAATTTGCAAAAACTCATAACATGATCGAAAAATGACAAGAAAGACTTAACAACAATAACATGTTGGTTTTTAATATTCTCCAATTCGAGAAAGCTTTCTCAAAGTTGATTACTTTATTATATTTGAAGATTTGAAGATTTGAGCTAAGATTTTATTAATTTTAAGGAGCAAAACATTTTTTACTCAAATCAAAGTTCATTGTTGTTGTTTGTATTGTACTTACCTAGTTACCTCTACCCAAGGATCTAATAGGTCATGGGGCTGAGATAAATATTGAATGAAACTTACACACTAGACATAATGTTAGGTGAGTTAATTCAACTATAAATAATAAATGAAAATAACAATCACTTGTCCTTCTCTACTATTTCACTAATATTAATAATAATAATTCAGCAATTGTCAATACACCTAACTGTTACTGTTCTTAGACACAAAGGCTGCAACTTATCCCATGACCATAATTCTCCAAAGAAGTGAAATCCTGTTTCAAAAACAAATCAGAATAAAGCCAATCAGCCATAACTAACAATGATTTGAGCTTAAACATGGCAAGAAACTAAATTAAGTAGTTAATTTTGCTTACCTAAGATGATCTTGCTTGCTGTTACTCATCTCTGATTCCTTTCAAGAGCTTGACCACTTGAAACATGGTTGGCCTGTTAGCCGGGTTATCGGAGAGGCAAAGAGCTGCGATCTGCAATGTTTGTAGCATCATCGGTTTTGAATCCGCGTTGAGTATTTCTGGGTCGAGAACATCTGCAGCCTGGCCTTTCTTCGTCTTCTGAGACACCCAACCCACCAAGTTCCCGCCTTCAAAGTCTTTGAAATCAGGCCCGGTTGGCTCTTTGCCAGTGACCAACTCGAGTAGGATCACGCCAAAGCTATACACATCTCCCTTTGTTGTTGATCTCCCGGTCTGGCCATATTCGGGTGGGATGTATCCGAATGTGCCTGCAACGTCAGTGCTCACGTGTGTCTCACAGGCGCTGATCAATCTTGCGAGCCCAAAGTCTGCAACTTTGGGCTCGAAATCTTGGTTCAGGAGAATATTGCTGGCCTTGATGTCCCGGTGGATTATGTGAGGGGTGAAGCCGTGGTGAAGGAAAGCTAGACCCCGGGCTGCACCCACAGCGATTTTGAACCGTTTGCTCCACTCCAACACGTCCAGTGTTCCACACCGGTTTCTTAGCCAGAGATCCAAGCTCCCGTTAACCATGTACTCGTAAACCAGCAGTTTCTCATCGCCATAAGAGCAGTACCCGAGCAAAGGAACAAGATTTGGGTGCTTTACCTTGCCCAGGGTCTCCATTTCTGCCAGAAATTCTCGGTGGCCTTGTGTTTTGGCTTGGTTTAGCTTCTTCACTGCAACGATCTTTTTATCCGACAATGTGGCTCTGTAAACCGTTCCAAACCCTCCATCCCCGATAATGTTTGTCCTGCAGAAGTTGTTGGTGGCCTCGAGAATATCAACTAGCATCAGCTTGAGGAGCGACTGTTCAAACGTGGCAATGTTAATGCTTAGGGGCTCCTTCGATTTGCTGGTAGTTAAGAAATACATATGTTGATCCACCGAGCTATCCAGTTCGTCAGATTTCTCGGGATCACACGTTCTGCTGCTTTTGTTCAAGATCCTTAGCACAATAGCTACTGAAAGAGTGATGAATACAGTTCCAGCCACGACTGATAACAGTCCCGAAATACTTAGGGAATGTAATCTCCTATCTTGATTCCTCGTCGGGCATTTTAGATCAAGAATCTCACCACACAGATCCTTGTTCCCGGATACTGAAAGCTTGGAAAGGTTCTGACAAGTTCTCGGAATAGGCCCCTCCAATTCATTCTCAGCAAAATCCAAGGAAATTAAGTTGGTGAGACTGCATAGGGACTCAGGGATTTGACCCGAGAGTTGATTCCTCGACACATCCAAATACTCGAGCTGGGTAAGATTCCCAAGCTCACGGGGAATTTCCCCAACGAAATTGTTTTCGTGAAGATCCAAATATGTAACGTATGACATATTTCCCAAAGACGGTGGCAAGGCTCCAGAAAATACGTTACGACTTAAATTCAGAATTTCGACTCTCCAGGCTGTGGAAGTTGTGAAAAGCTCGTTTAAATTGCCAGAAAGGCTGTTATGCTGAACATAAAGGCCAACGAGATTTACCATGCTTGAAAGTGATGGGGGAAGCTCACCCTCGAGTGTGTTTGAGCTCAAGTCCAAGTGAGTAAGCCCGTGCAAATTCCCAAAACTAGAAGGGATTGGCCCGGAAAACTTGTTGCCCGTCAAATTCAACTTCACTAAACCGCCCAAGCTACCTAGGCTTTCAGGTATTGCCCCGGTAAGCTGATTGTTTCCCAGATAGAAGCCCTGCAGCTTTAGAGAGTGACCAAACTCCTTCGGGATATCACCTTTCAGAAAATTCCCGGTCAAGTCTAAAGTCGTGAGGTTTGGCAATTGAGCAAGCGAGCTTGGAATCTGCCCAGAAAGCATGTTATTGCTGAGCAAAAGACCCACGATGACCACACAGCTTGCTAGCTCTTCCGGTATTGTGCCAGACAATTTATTATACGAAAGATCATAAACCCCACGATGCTGAACATAACTTGAATCCGAGATGGTAGCTTGGCGAAAATACTTGGAGTTCTTGAAAGGAATAGCCCCGGTAAGATGATTGTGCGAGAGAACCAAGCATTGTAGCTGAGGCAACTCAGCAAGCTCCTCCGCGATTTCACCATTGAGCATGTTGTTCCCGAGATCCAACGTTGAAAGGGCAATGCAATTCCCGAGCTCAGCAGGTATAGCCCCTTCAAGGAGATTCGAATTCAAATTCAACACAGAAAGAGACGTCAAGCTCCCAATAGCCTCGGGAATTCTCCCCCTTATCCTGTTGTTACTAAGAACAAGCCTCTGCAATAACTTAGCATTCCCAATCTCCACTGGAAGCGTTCCCTCGAGGCGGTTATTTGCAGCAGAGATCTCCATTAAGCTCGTCGAATCCCACAAACTCACCGGGATAGAACCAGTAAAATTATTCGAGTCCAATTCAAGAACCACGAGAGGAAGCTCCGAAAGGTACCCGGGAATCACCCCGTGGATCTGGTTATTCACCAATGCCAACTGAGTCAAGTTACCACACTTCACAAAAGCCTCGGCTATAGTCCCGGACAGAAAATTACTCCCAAGATCAACATATGTAAGGCCAACAGCATTGCATAACTCCATAGGAACTGGACCACTAAGCAAGTTATTGTTCAGACTAATCGAAGTTAACATAGAGCAATTCCCAATCTCGGGTGGAATTCTTCCAGAAAACCGGTTACTCGAAAGCAAGAGGGAATCAATCTGAGTCCATTTGCCCAGCCAAGAAGGCAATGGACCTGAAAGCTGATTCTCTTCCACAGAGAAAGTTAACAACTGCAATTCTGCAAGCTCCTCAGGCAATGTTCCAGAGAGAGAGTTAAAAGACAGGACAAGTGTCTTCAACCTTGTACAATTTCCAAGATTGGGTGGTATATAACCAGTTAGCTGGGAGGCCACTAGGTTGAGAATTGTTAAATTTTGAAGCTGCCCTATATTGTCTGGGATTGAACACTTCAATGGGTTGTAAGATAAGTCAAGTTTGGTTAAAGACTTGAGCTTTGAGAAGGATTCTGGGAATGGACCAGTGAGTGAACATGAAGGTGAATAGAAGTTCTGGAGGCTGGAAAGTTCACCGATTTCTTCCGGGAACTGGCCGGAGAAATGGTTGATGCCGATGTAAAGATCCGTTAGGGTGGTCATGGTTCCGATTTCCGGCGGAATTTCGCCGGAGAGGGAATTGTTGGAGACGTCCAAAGAGGTTAGAGACTGAAGCTTAGTGAATAGAGATGGAGAGAGAGAACCTGAGAGAAGATTGCTCCCCAAGGCCAGGACTCGGAGGTGAGTTAGGTTGCCGAGTTGGGTGGGTATGCTCCCGGAGAACCCATTGCCGGAAAGGTCCAGCGACCGGAGTCTCCCCAAGTTTCCCAGCTCCGGCGGTATTTTCCCGGAGAAAAGATTGGGCCCGAGATTAACCAGCTCCAACTGAGTCAACTCTCCTATTTGGCCGGGCAACTCGCCGGACAACTGATTTTCCCCCACGTCCAAAGCTCTAAGCTCCCTTAACGCAGCGATTTCCGGCGAAACTTCCCCATACAAAAGATTCGACGAGAGGTCAAGAACAACAAGCCTGGAAAGAGAGAAGAGAGAAGAACCCAAAGGTCCCCGGAGAAACCGAGCCTTGAGAACGAGCGAGAAAACCTCGCCATTCCGGCAAACAACTCCGTCCCAGCGACAATGAGGAGTAACAGGCGTCCAAGAAGAAAGAGCCTCAGGGTTGTGAAGGGAAGCTTTAAAAGAAAGCAAGCAATCCCTGTCGACAATGGCGGCTTTAGGGCTCTGAAAACAGAGGTGAATGAAGAGAATGGCAATGGTAACCCCAATCGCCATGGCCATCAGGTCTTGGAACTCATACAAAAGAAAAGGGTTGACAGAGTGGTAGTACAGAAACGCAAATGAAACTGGTAGATAATTAAGGGAACTCTGAGTGTCCACTTCACATAATCACATCAATAAGTCATAGCAGTGGCAGGGGGAGAGAGAGAAGAAGAAGAAAGAGGGATTCACAAGAAAGAGATGGTTAAAGTTGGCAGCTTTATTAAGAGGAGAGAGACCAGTCTTGAAGAACAAATACCGTACATGAAACCGATGGTGAATGTAGATTAAAAGTGCAAAATAATTATTTATATTTGAAAGGGGTATTTACGTTTTTTATATTTTAATAAATATTACATTAACCTTCCATTAAGACTAATTCCGATAATCAAAGGATGACAAACCATTCTTCTATTAGTGTGAATTTTAAGGTAACAACCCCAAACCAACAAAGCGAATAAGCATCATGTCATGTTTGTGTCGGATAGGACTCTTATCTGCACAAAAATTAACTTGAAACATTGTGATTATCCAACCAACTTGATTGGGTTGTCACATGTCTACCACCAAATTCAACTCCCATAATTCCGTCTTGAAAAGAATCAAGTTGTGTTATTCCTCATCTACCCGAATATGCTAGGATATGTAGACGATATCATTACTTATAACTAACAAACTAAATTAAGGACTAACCTCGTCAAAAATATTGGGGGTCTAGTGATTTGGATTAAGTTTATTGTGTGTAGGAGTGTACAAGTTAATGTTGAGTCTAAAAGTTAAATTGGCTCAATTTACTTCTTCATTGACCTATAAATAGGTTCACGAGTCAAATATATAGTCTCGTTAAATTAAAAATTTTAGAATAATATTAATAATAAAATGAAATTGGAATTAAGTTGGAGGGGTAATATGGGAAACAATGAGTAAATATATTTGACTTGTTGAGATATTGCATATTGATGGGAGGGGAGGAGAGGGGTCCAGAGTATGGAGGGGATTTTAGAGGGAAGTCAAAACTAACTTGGCCGAGAATTTTGCTGCAAGTATGGATTTGTTCTCTTCTGCACTTTTTATTTTTTAATGGTAAAAAAAGCTAAGGGACGTTGTCTCTTCACAGGATGCATAAATGCAACCTAGCAGATCCTGACCCCTAGAAACGGAACCAGCTGTGTATGGCAAAATAAAAAAATTTTGAACGAAATTTGATCGACACAAAGTGATGTGCCGAGGATAGAAGCTTGGAGGTGGTGGCCGGAGGTGGAGCGACGGTTCTTTCAGATGAGTTTGTCGACATTTTGGTTGAGTTGGAGGGAAAATAGGAGGATCTAACCTAAGGCAGAACTGATACCAGATGAGAAGATTGACTTTCAATTCAGTTACAAAAGATAGATGTTACAATACTAAAGAGGTTAGGAAACGTAAACCTCTCTTAACTAATAGACTAGTTTAAGTCAAACAATCTAACACCACACAATTATTAACCTATTACAATAATGAAATAATAAGAAGAATAATAACATTATTAACAATCTCTTCATATATATGTGTGTGCACTTTAATTTTCATAAATCTCCGTCAAACATCATAAGAAAAGACGAGTTGTATTCTACCAACTTCACCAAATGTTTTGTCTTCTTCACTATCTTTCTTATCCACTTTAAGCTTTTAATCTCTTGGATAATTGTACATTTTTATAAGGTATTGAGCTAGTTAAAAGTTTAGTGAATGATTAAGCTAATGTAAAAGAATATGCATGGGTGAATGAGGAGACATGTAAAGATCTAGCAAAGGCTATCAACTAGCTAGGCTAGACCAGATAGGTGAGACTTAAAAGATCGATCTAGGAGTTACAGTGCACGGCTTGATGATATTGTCCTAATATAATAGTGGGGTGTGATTGTCACAACTTTACATGCAAGACGCTTTGAGACCATCACTCTCCTATACAATCGAGAGTTGCTAATGGATGAGCATCCCTACACGAGGCTATGTGGTTGAGGACAACCACTCAATGTGAGCATGACCCTGCTAGTCCGAGACACACGAATAAAACATATTTGATTGAGATAAGTGATCGATTAATCGATCGAAATAAGGTGGCAATTAACCGTTATTAAAAATAAGTTAGAGATAGTGATGTTATTTAATGCATGTTAGACAATGTGTCATAATGGGAAAGTGTGAACTTACACCAACTTTTGGCCTAAACTCTAAAATTTGCAGATCATAACATATATTATTGAAATTAACGTACATGCTTTTGGAAGTCTTAAGTCATGCATGCCATCTATTCTGACAATCATCACGTACTCTTCAATAAACAAACAACTTAGCATTCATCTCTCAATTTTCTTGTTGACTTAATAATTAACTAAGAACAACATAATCGCAGTCTTTAAATTTAATTTTAAATTTTGTCAGGTTAATGTGTCAAATAAGAGAGAACAAGTTTTTAAAATTTGGTTCCATCCCGTAAAAGCCAACTTGGAACAAGACTCCCTAACAATGAGGCAAGCCGTCTTCGCAACTCTTTTAACAAACAAAAGACATGCATGCTAAAATAGATTAAGCAAATCTTTTAAATCATTAAACAACATCAAAGGAAGAATCACTTCCTTGTGCTCTAACAGCTTAGACAAGCGATCTGCGAATCAGGCAGCCCATCTGTTAGCTAGGCAGTCTGCTTCTACGTCTGGTTGCTAGGAGTGGTTCACGAACCCTCCCTCTATCATTTGTAATACCCTTTATTTGGATTTGAATTAATGCATGCGTTTTTGGTTTTCAAAAAAAAAAAAAAAAAAAAAAAAAAAAAAAAAACCAGCTTGGACAAGCACCAGAGCATCTCTAGGTGGATAAAATCTCAACCTTTATGTTTAGTCCAGCTTAGAGCCTCTCTAGACGTTATGGCTTCTGCTTCAAATGAGTTCATTGTACGTAGATAATCGTATAGTGATCCAAACCAAACAATAATTAAATTAATAATATTACAAATCATACAAACTTAAATGAGCTGACATAGTTGCAAACTCCTTTTGCTGCCAGATACGTAGATAATCGTATAGTGATCCAAACCAAAAAAACAATTAAATTAATAATAAGAATAAATGTCAAATAGGGCACTCAACTGCATACCATATTGCAATTGAGCCATCGAACTAAAAAAAAATGTAATTGAATCCTTGAATTACACAAATACATTCAATTCAATCCAAAATGACTTGTTTTAGGATGGTGGTTATTGAACTTAAAAATAATTTTAATTAAAATAATTGTTTAAATAAAAATAAAAAATAAAAAATAAAAAAAGACCTTCGTCTCCGGCTCATCTCCGCCAGAGACGAAGGAAGGGGCCGCGGATTCGTCTCTCCTGGCCTTGGAGAAGGCCGAAGACGAAGCCAGCTTCGTCTCTTGGTCATGGAGACGAAGGGATCAGCTTCGTCTCCGGTCGTCTCCCTGGCCATGGAACGGTCGGAGACGAAGCCAACCCCTTCGTCTCCATGGCCAGGAGACGGAGGTGGCTTCGTCTCTAGCCGTCTCCATGGCCAGGGAGACAGCCAAAGACGAAGCCGACCCCTTCGTCTCCGGCTGTCTCCATGGCCAGGTAGACACGCCGCGCCCTTCCTCTTTGGAGACCAAGGGTTTTTTTTTTTTTAAATGATTATTTTAATTAAAATTATTTAAAAATTTATTTTTAAATTCAATAACCGCCACGTCAGGAGGTAAAACAAGTCATTTTGAGTTGAATTGAATGTATTTGCGTAGTTTATGGACCCAATTGTACTTTTTTTTAGTTCGATGACCTAATTACAATGTGGTGTGCATTTGAGTGACCTTTGACCTTATTCCTTAATAATATTAGAGCATCCCCATCAAAGCATAATATGGAGATATTAGTACACTAATATGCATTTCAACATATGGGAAGCAAAGATAATACCAAAAATAATTCTCCTGCAAACGTCAAGATAATGGCAGAAGAAGAAGAAAAAAAAAAAACCAGCGCTCCTAAGCGCATTCCGCGCAGAAGCAGTTCAAAGCTGGGCGCGTACAATGCGAGACTCGTCAGGCGCGCCTGACGTTTGTTTACAGTATTTTTTTTTTATTTTAAAAGTTCCAATTTTGTGTTTTTTTTTTGTTTTGTTTTTTCTCTCCCCTCCTACATTCTCTTTCCTAATTACTCTTACATTATCCCCCAATTCTCCCAACTGATGCGAATGCTATTACAAACCATACAAACTCTTAAATATATATATATTTTTGTGATATTTATGCACTAAAATTCGTATTTTAGCATGTACTAAGGCTAACCTTATCCCAGCAATTTTCTCCACTTTCTAAAATGGGTCCCACTTCCACATCATCAAATTTACAAATCTTCAACTATTTTCTCTACATCCCTACAATACTCTCTCACTTTTAAAAATGGCCCCACTTTCATTTTATATTATAAATATAATAATAAAATAATATAACAAATAAGAAAAGTACACAAATAAAAAAAATTAAAAAAGAAAAAGTACATAAAGGCTGCCATGCGGCAGCCTTTGTAAGTGTTAGCAAGCTTTCTAAATAAGAAAGCTTGCTAGACACATGGCAAGAGTTCTTAATAAAAAAATAAATTTTTTTTGCCACCTCATCTTGCAAGTGGAATAATTTCAGGGATGGGGTTAGCCTAACACTATTAATATACCTACGTCACTCAATATTCTTTACGTCACACAATATTCTTCATTGATATTTTCTTTTTTTTTTTTTTTTTTGAAAGGTAAAAATAAAAACTTGTGGCCTTGTGGCTTGTGGGTAACTTTTGCAGGGAGGTAAATTTGAATGTGAGGATACTGGTGAGATGAAATCGTGGGTTCGTATCTGATTTTCAGAGCATTTTACTTTAGCTTTTACTGCTCTTCGGACAAAGGGTTAAATCAGCGAGATTCTTGACACAAATTTAACTTCATTTTTTTTTTTTTTTTTTTTTTTTTTTTTTTTTTTTAAAGCAACACAAATTTAACTTTTGTGGAACTAAATATGATTTTTTTTGTTAAAGTGTCATCCCACACCCTGAACTATATCGGATTGTTCATGCCGCATCCTGATCTTTCATAACATATATTTAGAGCCACTTATTAATAATTTTTTTTCACCTAGCATTTTTTATAGGTTTTCAGG